GATGCGATCGATCTTTTCCTAATTGGGATATGGGCCCCAAGCGGTCAGGGTCCATCCGGGCTCATCCGGGTCCCACAACGTCTACTTGTAACTTCATATACATTTAATCGTTAATCCTCTTTCGTAATTGCAAATCACTATAAACCCTCTTTAACGCTAATTAAACTATTGGCATAAACTACACATATTATAGAAGACTAACACGAAGCCTTCGTATTTGGTTATCCAGTTCTTATAAGGATCCTTCTATCTGAATAGCATCAAATTATAATCAAGGGTATGCCAAATTACCAACCCGGTTTAACCAATCAAATCATAGAATTTTGGGGAATAGCGTTTGTCATAATCACGTACGTACGTAGATACTTAAAATTCTAATTTAATTACATATTTTGCATATTTCCAAAAGGAGGTGTCAGACGAATTCGTAGTTTCACAAAGAAAAATGGCAATAAAATAAAACAATAAAAACATAAAAACGTTGAATTTAAGCTTCTAATAAAAAAATCGAGAAACTATCGCAATGTTTGTTACTACAGTATTATTAGTAAAAATTCTTGCGTTATCTCTAGATATCCTTTGTTGTGCATGAGTATTATAAAATTATATAAGGTTTAAACCGTGTAATTGATGTTGAATTATAAACAGAATACGTATTTATAGAAATTACTATTTCAAAGATAGTTAAAGAGCAATCAATGCAAATGCTAAGGGGATGCTATCAAAGTTGGCAAGAGAAACAATGAACGAAACGATCCACATATCATTTAATTATTTTTATCACCCTAGCTAAGCCATAAACATCTTAGCTTCTCCTAAATTATATTAAAAAATATGATTTAACTTGACGATAATTTAACCAATTTTGATAAGTTAAAATTCTCTATAATTCTGCAAGATTTTACATTTAAAAAGATCAAACATTGGTCAATTGATTATGTTTGCCTAGATTATATTGACTTCATAAAGTCACGGCAATGGTCATGTTAAATAGATATTTAAAACCTTTTGCCAATAGTCAAGAGGTTCTCGTTCTCGTTAACATGTACGTAGTGAAATTATAGAACGATTTCCATTCACGGGATCAGAGCTGAAACTCAACGAAAAACTTGAGAATTATGATGATAAAATTACATGTGGAAAACTTATTAGGGCATGAAAAATATTCAATTCCAAAAAGTCAAATGTGTGTTTTGTTTTTAAAGTACTTTTTTCATTGGATATAATTTCGTGAACGGAAAATCGAAAATACTATGTTTATATTATGCATTGTAAAAAAAGAATGTAACTTGTACATACCTATATTAGATTATAAATAGTAGCTGGTCAAATTTAGGCATAAATTTTATTTGCAAAGAAAATTCTAGAGATTTATTAAATAAATAAAATCACATTTTTTAAAAAAAGGTCTATATTATAATTACAATTCAACAACAACAAAAATAAAAACGGTTAATAAAGAAATAAAAGCAGTGAAGAAACTGTTTTGTATAATAAAGTTAGCAGCACTATTTTGCTTTGATAGATCGTTAGGTAAGATACCGTTACCATAAGTTTTTGGTGTGTATTGTACACCATTATAATTAGCAACAATACTAAACGGATTTAAATTCGGACTACCTTGATCATAAAAATCTACTGCAATAAAATTTGGAGCTTTCTTAAAAATATTAGTACAATTTTGAGCATGTGCTTGAAGGCTAACACTATTTGTTAAATTTGCGGTGATTCTGGTTGGAAGTTCAATTTCTAATGAACTTGATGGTATGACGGTGTATAGAAAATGATTTAACAGGTATATTGGACGAGGCTGGTCTTTAGGACGGTCAATCGTACATTGCCAAGCACTAGAATTAGAATTATCATACGGCGTTTCGAATACATATGAGTATTCCGGCATTAACCTAAAATAAATAATATATATGCATATGCATATGTATTAACAATTTTAACAATTAAAATTTAATATGTAAAAATGTATAAAAAATACAATGCATTCGTACCATGGCACAGTAGTAGTGTCAGCGCCTGAATCAAGAAAGTTAATAACACGTTTTCCTGAACTTATAATTTTGGACATTGTAGGCCAACTTGAATTTAGTGGCTGAGTATAACAATACTGAGTTAAACCAGCTTTATCAAAAGCAGTTTTGAAAACAGCCGCTGTAAGGTTACTGAAGAAATTTCTCCAAAAAATTGTAATAATATCATTTGGGTTATTTTGTAAAAATGTTGTAATATTTTTTAATGTATCCGCGACAGTTCCTGCATCCAATAATTCACAAGAAGTATGGCAAAGTTCTATATCTGATTTTGTTGGATCTGGATTTTTAAGAACGGCAAGAAGAAAAACACGAACTCCATCATTTAATTGAGTTGAAATATTGTAATATTGGTTTGCCGCAATAGCGGTTCCGTAAGCATAAGAATTATGTGTTGCTACAAATGATACGGAGGAATAAGGTTTGTTGCAAAGTTCTGCGTATCCATTACAAACTTGTTGTGCATCCGCACAAGTAATTATTATAGTGAGAAGAAATGAAATTATGAATGATAGCTTCATTATTAAAAAAAATTACGGTAAATCGCAAATTGCGAGAAACGATGAGAGTCAAATAGTGAAGCATTAAAATTTTCAACTATATACTATATTTAAAAACTATGCCAAGGCTGCCTAAACCTTGGTGGATTATCGGAATTGATCTTTACTTGATTTCCGATTTCCAAATACAGATATTAATACAGTATTTTTTTTATGCAATATAATTAATATAAATGTTTATCTTTAAATTTAAGGTAGTTAATCCGCCAAGATGCTTAAATATATCATCATACCCCTGATTGCATATAATCAGAAAAAATGATTTGATTCATTAAGACTTCCTAAATGTATAATTATAAAGAAAAAAGTGACGTCCAAAATTTTTTTTAGGTCACCTTTTTTGATGCGTATTAGGGTATGATACTATTTTAGGTAATGATCTGCATCATTACACCCTTGAACTTCATCCTGTCGTACGTTCCTTGATAATCGAATCGCAATATAAATGATGTTGCGTTTCCAAAAGCCACTTAGATTGAAAATATAACACCCGATTGCTTATTGATCGATGTCCCTATCAAAAATCAGGGTTTTAATGATTAACAGTTCAATAATGACCAAGCCTAGATTGATGTACAGATTTGTAGGATCGTTGATGGGTCATCTACGTATTTCGGACACAGCCATTCTATGCTTAGCATTTTAACGGTTTAAAATAATTTTTGGAAAGGTGCATATTATTTTCGTGTAAAATATGTTCGATGATACTTTTTTACACAACTTATACTGTGATATAATGAACGCTAAAGCACTGGAATTAAATTGTAAATTCATATTAAATTTGAATTTGAAAAATTCAAGATAATTTATATGAAAAGTTAAAATTGTATTATGTATATTTGTATAAAACCAAATAAATATAAAGCGTCTCGTTTATATTGTCGAATGAATTGGGCGTGATACTATAGGGAAACTTTCTTGTAATTAATCAATTGAATTTATACAGTTTAAAGTACTTTCATTCATATAGTAAATTTTGTTAAAACAAATCAACCACTGTTTAAAACTTTTCAAAAGGCACTTTATAAACGAAGCTTGAAGTCAATGCCTAAAATTTAGCATCAAGATCGTGGATGACCGCACATTACATATAGATTCTGTCACACTGCAACGCGCACAATTTATTTTATTTTTAAACAAAAAGCATCAAAATAAATATCATAATTATTTTAGTAAACATTTACCCATTGATAAAATCGAAGTAAGTTCGATCTTATAAATATTAATGATGCAATTTAATTTCATTATTGTTTTGACCATTATCGCTAACGTTAATTATTAAGTTAGTTACATAATAAATAAAGCACATCAAAGCTTAAAAGATTTAAAATATTTATGAATTTGAAAATTTTAATGTGCGCATTTCGTCAGAAATTTTAAAATATATGCACATATTGTAGAGATGTTAACCGGTTAAAAATGTACTGTATTAGTTACAACTGGCAGTTAACTACACTAAAAAAATCGTGTAAAATTGTTTATAAAATTTATATAAACAATCAGCAAGCATTTTGATTGAAGTCCTTTTATATGTGATAATAATTATTGATTAAATACATAGACTATGTTCAATAGTTACGAATTAATATCATTTAAAGTTTTATGATGTATAAACAGACCAATTCAACCGGGTTTGGCTTAAACAATAACGGGTTGTGTCTCAAAGTTAATGTAGTTCCATCCTAACTATATACTGAACCATTTTAATATAGTTAAGGTACGGAATTTTTTTTTTGTCCATTCTACTCATTGATTCTCTAAGCATCTCAAGTGCCTCTGTTGTTCACTCCATCTAAGTATATCTCACTTAGAAACAGATTACAACCTAAATAAATAACAAATGAGGTAATGAACATATTATTTATTATCGCAATTCTGCACTAGCATTTTCCGAAATGATAAACTGGGGAAAAGTCGGGTATGTGTATAATAATAATACCGACCTCCCACATGATAAAATACATCATTAACTTGTACGTAATTAATGATAAACATACTAGTTTGAAACCAATTGAGGGAATAATAAGAATAATAATAAAGCCAATGAAAACGATGGTGATGACAAAGTCAACTGTAAAATAACAAAACCGACAATGAATATGACATGAAAACGGTAAAAAAAAAGAAGACCAGTCCAATTCGCTTACCCGATCTCGATCTTGATCCTCATTTACTCCTTTACCTGTTCAGCAAGCAAATTCTACAAGACGAGGGTATTAAAGGATTTCGCTATGATGGTTTAAATTTTAATTACTGTTTGCGAATTTCTGATTTTTCTTAGCCATTAAAATAACTTTTTTAAATTGTAAATAAATTTTAAATTTCTGCAATAAATTACCTTAGTTGTTATTAAAGGACAATATTTCGATGCGCTCAGAAACTATAATAATGCTTTTCCGTTTTATTGGTGACGTAATAAAAACATCATGGTATTTTACTCGTAATTTACGGATTTTATAATTGTGAATTTCTTCTGACAAGAACATGTTGAAGTTGAGTCAGGGCATGATTCAAAAAAATTCAGTGGGACTATTGTTTTTGGAAGATATCTTTATCTGTACACAGACAATTTTCCAATAAAATAGTGAACATAATTTCATTTTCTTACAGACCTATACAAGAGTATACAAATTAATTTTTTTAAACTATATAAATAATGTAAACTTAAATTGATTTAAACAGTCAATCATATGAAAGTCTTTCTATGAGTTTCAACATTATTTTTATTGCAATTTCCCCGACTTGATACTTACCGACATAATGCATGTGACAATTTGTCAAAAATATATATACCTACACTTAACAAATACTAACCCTGACCTTATGTGATGTCGGGGAAATAGTATTTCAGGAAAGTGGGAATCAACGAATGTTATTTACTATATTTGTTTCCGTTTGAGTCATCCTTATTTGAAAATAATTAATTCGAAGTTTTTTTTTTAAATTATAAGGAACTTATATCAATATTATCAATGGTTAATTCGGAGATTGAAGTTAACGTAACTCAAAAGCCAAAATTAAGCCTGATAACTATAAGCCGTTCCCATCCTCAAACAAACGATTAAAATTCGCTTTCGTTATAGTGAAGTTCTCGACCGAAGAACAAAATCTTCTACTGAAATAAAATATGGAGGTAAATCAATAGAAATCAAGCAAATTTTTTACAATAAAAACTTTTTCAACTTCGAGCAAGAATAACTCAACAAAACTCAATCAGACTTAATAAAAAAATATTATTTAACTTAATTAAGTATTGTTAAGTTATTCTTGTTTAAAGTTTTAAAAACACTTATTGAAAATATTTGCTTGGTTTCTATTGACTCGACCTCATATACTTTATTATATTTTGCTTAAGGTTAATACGTAATCCCGTAATTTAAAATTCTTCATTATATCGACTTTTCATTATATTTGAACAGATAGGTTCTTCAAATTATTTAACTCATGAGTGTACTTTAGAATTTTACAACCTTTCATTTAATCTGTTCTACTATTTATCCTAGACTAATGCTAGCTGTTTTGTTTCTTACAAACCAATCACAAAGGCCCTCCCGTCCAATACAACTTTATAAACAATAGATAATAAAAAAAGAGATTTATAGAAACACAAAGAATAAAAAAAATTTGAATACAGTTTGGTGGCTAGTAACGCTAGGACTTTTTTATTGTAATCTGGATAGGCCACATCTTTTTGCAAAGCGCAATTAAAATTATACTCGACCATCGATTCTAACTTCGTTTGTGGCGTGGATTTGCCGAAAGTATTTCGGCACTATTAATTGCCAATATATGTTCGGCAACTTCATATCAAAAATTAAAGCGAAATACATACAATAGCTTCTATTCCATATATGGGTCTTGTAAATTACTTTGATTCGTCAGTTAAAACGGAAGAATAGTGCATGGTGTTACGTACCACAGCTATGAAACAGCATAAATAAAATGTAAAATGTACGTGATTTACTGTTACAACGTTTTTTTAACTCCGTTTGAACCTACGCATCTGTAACTACTAATATACTTATAGCCTTTTTATGATGGCTGGATATAAAAGAAATCAAGAAATATTTCAAACATCCAACTCTAATGATAATGAGAATAATTTAATTGCTACTAGCAGTAGTGGAGCTCAACAAACAAAACATCGACGCACAGAAAATTATGATAAAGAAAGCATTTGTTGGAAATATTTTGAACCATTTAAGGTCCCAAAGGAGAATGGTACATTAACAAAATGTACAATTACTGGATGCACTACAAGTTACATATGGTGCGGATCTACTTCTAATCATGTTGGCCATCTTAAAACTAAACATGGTATAATGAAATCCTCAACAACTTTAGTACCTTTGACATCCACAACATCAACCATTAACCTTAACAATTCTGAATTAGAAATTAATATACCATTAATTAAATTTATTGTTTCCTCTGTATTACCTTTTAGTATTATTGATGATTTAAAATCTGCTGGATTTGTTAATCCAAATATTGAACTATCTAGTTCTAATATCATAGAAGAGCAAATAAATAAAGCATACAATCGTTTATTCCTTCAATTAAAGTTAAAAGCTCAGCAAGCAAAATCAATTATGCTCTCAATTTGTGAAATTGAACCAGATGATAGGATTGAAGAATCCTATGTAGTAATCACTTGTAATTGGCTAACTAAAGACTTTGAATTTCATAAAATCTTATTTTTTGCAAAAAAATGGTTCTCTAATATAGACCAAAAAGATTATTATAAAGATATTATAGAAGCTTTATTAAAATTGGAATTTGCTAATTTGAAATTTTATAATGATAACTTAGGTTATTTTTTCGATACATTATGGGAGTGTGAAGAAGACGAATATCAAAACCTTGTGCGAAATCTTACACAATTGCATGATGATAAAAATAATTATTTTCATCATTTAAGATACTTAATATATAGGAGCTTAGCTGTAAAAAACGTTAATACCCAAGGAATGTCTGAAATTTCAAAAGCTTTTGTTAATGCTACTAGAAATCTTGAGAGTGTAATAAATTTTTTAAAGGATAGTAGAGTACAAAGAGAAATTCAAAATATGCAACTAATGTTTGATTATTCGACAATTATTGACATTCAAAATGCAGGAAAAATTAATTGTAGCTACTGGGGCTGTATCTATCATAAGATAGCATTTCTTAAACTAATGGAAAAACCTTTTATACAATTAATTACTAATTATAATAATTATGAAAATGCTTATATCAGGAAAAATGGCAAAGACTTTAAGGAACTTATGCTAGATTCTTTGCCATTTGGCATATTTTCTAATTTATTGCAAGTACTTAAACCTTTCGAACATATTACATGTAAATATCGTGTAATATCTACGAAATATTATGAGGATTTAATAGATAAAATTAGCATTAACGCAAATAATATGTTGAAGGAACTTCAATTTAGTAAAGATTTAGAACACGAATTCCTTGAATCATTTCTAATATCTTTATGCTATGAGGATAATAGCTTATTTATTAAGCAGCTAGCTTCGTTTTTAGATCCACGTTCTAAACCAGATGAAATTTCACCTGTAAATTTTTCTATGATTAAAGAATTTACACTAAAAAAATGCCAAACATATTATTTAGACCATATTTTTTTGGGCAATTTGGATAAATCAATGCAAGCAGCAAACGAAGAGTTGAAATGTTATATTAATCGCCCACAATTATTATTAGATAATGATATTGATCCGTATGAGTGGTGGCAAGGTTCAAAACAAATGCTTCCTGGACTAGCTGTGCTTGCAAGAGAATATTTACCTACACTACCTACTATGTATGATGATGATCCAGTAACAAATCTAGATAAACTTATAAACACTTATGGTGAGGACATGTCAGAAAAAATGGCTTTTTTACAATATAACATGAAGTATATTGATCTATATTTATAAATGCAATTGAAATCAAATTACCAGAGATAAATATTGTTATTATGAAATCAAATTACCAGAGTTAAAGTCGATAATTTATAGCACAAAATTATGCAAATACGATTCTAATAAAGTAGCACTAGTCTATTTATGCTTTGTTGAACATATTTCCATTGCACATTTTCTTCTAATATAATGTTAGATATTCTTAGTTGAATATGTTATGGGTAGTTCAAACAAATACCACATGCCAGTATAATAATTTTATGTATAATTTGTTATAAATATTTGATATTTTTTTTACATCCAAAGGTTCCAATTCTGTATTAAAGATCACTTGTAATAATCTTTTTAATGATTTTAAAAAATTATATGGTAATTGTAGCAGATAAGTTAATCGTTGTTAATCAAAAACGTGCCATAATGTGATTAATTACGAAAACTATTTAAGGTCCGAAGGACTTAAAATTTACGATCAGTCCAACAACATAATTTGCGGACACACAGACATCAGGTGCTCTATAGATTTTTGAGTCTGAAATCAATAAAATCAAGTAGAAATTGTCAGATCTGTGTTATTTCTTAATAAGGCCGTCTCCCTCAATGTTGTCAGAGTTAAAACAGAACGCTCAAAAACCTGAAAAGTGATCCTCATAGTGGCCTACTTACCTAATCGGTAGTGCCCATGACGATTCACTTGAAACATATGCGCCTGGCTCCAAGAAAGCCATATGATATTGCACAAGCCTCAATGTGTGACCCAACCACCCTCCCAATTAAAGAAAGGTCGATCTGGGCCTACCTGTTCACACCCTATCGGCTGGGAATGGACGATAACTCCACTTTACCCTACTTGGGATAAGTGTGAGGCGATGAAAAGAGGAGCGATTGTGGTGATAATGTTGGGTTCTGGCCCCGGGACAATTAACATTGTAACATTCTCATCGGTTCTATGACAACCGTGAGAAATGCTAAAGTAACGAAAGGCTGTGTGTATGAAAAGGTTAAAGGTTAAAACAAAAAAAGGTGGAAGTCAATGGGAAATAAGGGAGAAGAGTCTTGTACGTCTCTTTTCGCCGTCAAATTGTTATAAATAGAGTGGGAATTTTCCTTCTTGAAAAAGAGTTCAATATAGTCCAGTGTTATAGACAAGTGTACCCCTACAAAATAATAAAAGATTATTAATAAAGACCCTCTGTACCCATAAAATATAATACCGTTCTTTAAAGTCTTTATTCTTATCTTGTAACGCACCTTAACTATCGCCTTGACCTTGTGCCAAATTTTAAAACCGCCTCTACCACCCGTTTAGGAACGTTACGCGGCATACTCGTTTCTCAAGCGACAATTCTTCGCATTTGCTCTATCTCTGAACTCGCCCTTAGAACCTGTGACAATGTGTTTACCAAACAATCGGATTGGCCGAAAAAATTGATCGTGATTATCGCCTAGGGCAAAAAACCTGGAGCTGCGACTGGGGTCGTTAGGCGAAATCGCCACAGAAACTAGTTTCGACTTTTGCTAAAAAAAAAATGCCGAAATGGCGAAACTGATAAAACTGGCGAAAATGCTAAAAGGTGGCTAGAAAAGATAATGAAATTAGTAAAGGATGAGAAAAGTAGTAAAAAAGGCAAGAATAAATAAATTTTATTATATTTGATCTATTATAAGTTAATAATACAACAATTATTTCCTTGAAATTAGTCCTGAGATTTAGGTCAGATAAAATAGAGCATTGAGAAATAATTGCTGATACAAATTATGTTAACAAATTACTTACACATATATGGTATTTAATTAAAGTTTTAAAAAAATCTTAACAATATAATAATAAATTTATAGATAAATTTATTTTATACAAATAATATTAATATATAGATAAACGCAACTAAAAGAAAACAAGATTTCAAACCTTGAATTTTCAATACTGAACTGATTTATTATAAGTTCAAAAGCCTGAAGTATAATATTCTTTTAATACACTGGCGATCATAAATAATGCAACAAAAAAAAAATTTAGTCGGATCGTATTATCTCATGCAATTTCAGGCGTATTTGTTAAATTTTTATTTTATTTTATTCACAAATACTATTTTTTTTAAATAGCAAAATTTTAATAGTCACTATTATTACCAATGCAAAGATAATTGTGAATTTATTACAAATCACATGTTGCATTATTTTTGATTGTTTTTGAAAAGATCAGATCATGTGAGTTGTACTACATAAATACATATAAAAATGTAAATTTCATTGTTGATTCTGTATTTTGTGTAATGTTAGGATTGCTTACAAATCAAAAAAAAAGAATTGTATAATCTCCACTAAATGAGTCTAAATATTGTTTTCTCTTCAAAAAGAGTACATCACAAGAGCAGTAGGTTGGGTTCATGATGTTAACTTTTTTATGGTCTTGTGAATTTGAAAAAAATAGTTAACAAACTACACACTTGAAGATTTAGGAAAGGTTGGTTATCCAACTTTGTTGGATGAACCAACCCAAAGAAGAATAATAAATTTAATTATCTCTTATCACTATTCTATCATTGCTAAAGTGAGGACCTATCTCAAAATAAATGAAGATATTGAAATTTCAGTGTTTACTATTCATTGAATTCTTTAAAACTATGATTTAGTATTGGGAATAAAAAAAAATCCAATCTGAGTGATAGTCATCAAAAAACATGGTTTATTTTTGTAAAAAAATATGAAAAATGAACCATTAAAGATTGGTTTAAGATAATTTAGTTAGATGAATCAAGGTTCTAAATTGTTAAATTAGATTGTAAACAGTATTATTAGAAATATTATGAAGAATCATTAAATCAGTTCCATCTTAAGCCTACTATAAAATATGACAGTAGATTAATTATAATTTAAGGTTGCTTTATCTCTTATAATATTGGCAGTTATTATAAGATTGATGGCATGATGAATACAGATCTGTACCTAAAATATTCTATGAAAATTCAATATGGATAATTAAGGATCATGGATTTTAAGTCAATAAAATTATTTTTCAACAAAATGAAACATCTTATCATATGGCAACCTTGACCAAATATTGGTTTACAAGAAAGAAAATAAAGTTTTTCAACTGGTCTCTTCAATTGACTGATCTAAACCTGATCAAACACTTGTAGGATGAAATTGATCATTGTTTTAGGGACCTTTCTGGTTAAATTTTAAGTAAAAAGGACCTCTGAGAAAAAATTCAGATAGTTTGGCAAACAATCAATGTTGAAACCTGCATAAGATTAATTTGTTTAATGCCAGAATGAATCTGTGATATAATTAGAACTTGGGGCAACTACATCAGATAGTAATAACTAAAAATTATTAGAAAAAAAAATTTTTTTTATATTGTTACAGAGAATTGAATGAATTCTAGAATAAAGCAACTATGATGAATTGTTATTTCAAAATCATTGACATTATGTAATATTACTTAAAAACAAAATGAGGCAATATAATTTGGTAATAGTTAAAGTGACTTTTGAGTACATTACTGAATAAGTATAAAGATTTTTTAAAAAAATGTTTATTGGTATTATACTCTTTATACTTTTTATGATTTATAACTATTTTTATTTATTATTAATTTATTAATAATTTCTTTTTAATTACAGAAGTATGAGGAGCCAGAAGCTTATATTCTACTTAATATCAAAATAGAAAGCTTTTATAATGAATTATTAGAAAAGTATGCTTGAGAACATTCTTTCTTTCTTGCATTAATGTTTTCTTTTCTGTTAATTGTACTATTCCACCTTTTGATACATAAATCTGTTCTTTAATTACCTTCTCTATTTTATAGGTCATGCTGATAAGGCTATAATTGCATTTTATAGAAAGTTTTTGTAAATTAAAAGCTTTGTTATAAGCCTATGAAAGTAAGTATCATACCTTTTCCTTGTTGCATGTTGTGATGATTCTATTAAGTCTTTTTTTTTTTTAGATTAGTAATAATTGTTACATATAGGGCTTAGACTTACAATTAAGAATAACTTGTTCTGAATTTTAGGGCTTTTCTTGCATACAATAGGGTGAAATTAGGTTACATGATTACTGATTTTGGGTCATGATCTAGATTGCAATTCTGATTACATTTTCAGTCATGTTTTCAATAATCATTACACAATAGCTTTAACCAAATTTCCTTATAACAATGTAAAAAAATTTTTTTATTTTACAATCATGTTGCTATTAAAATGAGCAAAAATAATGCAACATGTATATTGAAATAAAGCTTGTGTCCTCAAAAATTTTGATTGTTAAATTTTTAAATCTTTTTATTAATGCTAATATTGCTATTTGTAAATAAAATAAAAAAAAATTTAACAAATATATTCAGAATTGTGTGAAATAATATAATGTGACTAATTTTTTTTTGTTATATTTTTTTACAGTTTAAGCCTAATTTTTGAGATCACAGATGCCCAAATCAGTATGACAATCTTTATCCAATCCAAGATTATATGAAAAGTAACAGAAATGTTACTTATAGTACTTATAGTACTTATGTCACTTCTGCTACTTTGGCTATATATGCATTAAATATTATATTGGCCTTTTATTACATTTAGCTAATATATTGAGTATTAAAAATATTTGGTATTTATGGCATAAATTGATTATAAATATAAATAAGATGTTTATTATAAATAAAAGGCATTTCTGTCTTAAGAAAGAAAAAGAAATTGTCTCTTATACAAATAAATCTTTTAGTACTAATAAATATCTGATTTATAATAAATATAAGTGCTATAATAAACTAATAAACTACTATTAACTCTACTATTGTTTATATCATTTATTTATTTATAAATCACTAACTCCCTATTGATGACTTGCTATAAGTCACATGACAAGACTATAATATAATAGAAGAGTTTCAACCTAATTTGATATAGAGTAATCTTGGTTGAGGTAGACAAGAGAGAACTAGATTATTAAGAAAAAAGATTGCCGAAAAGGCTTAAAAGAAGAAATACAAGTACTTACCAATAGATAATCTACTA